GTGTGTGTATGTAAGTGTGTGTGTGTGTTCTCACCTAGTCCATTCATTCACGTCCAAATAAATCTCCATCGTATACATATCCTAATCCAGAGGGTGGGTGTCCATTGACTTTCACTGAGAAGCTACGTGTCCCTATTTTACCAACAAAGCCCATCTCTCCCATTTCACCCAAATGAGGGAAGGAATTTGACAGAAAGGGCATTGTAGATTTCGGACCCAGCCCCCTCCCCCTGTAGCAGAATATGAAAATCATCAGCTGACAACTGATGGCCAGCAGTGACTTTGAGTGTACCACAATGGGACATTATGGAAACACTGTTTGTGTGTGTGTGTGTGTGTGTGTGTGTGTGCGTGTGTGTAAAATCATATATATGTGTTTTTTTCAGTTATTAGAAAGTTAACTAATAAGGTGAGCACTAAGGTGTAGCCCCTCAAGCATGTATATTTAATACTTGACTCTGGCCCTTAAGTCAATTCTGTAAATTTCTTCCAAGGGCTGTGAGCTTTTTGGATGGGGGAGGACTAAAAAATATTCTTTCTCAACAACACAGTTTATTGATTCATACAATATACATTTATAACTTAGCATAATACAGTGGAAAAGGGAACAACTGAACTAAAAAAGGGTATTAACACAGTTATCTTTTGCACTCGCTATAACAATACATTACCTTGGCCAGAATGTACTGCACTACAGAATTACATTACTAGGAAATCATCTTCCAATATTGAATGTTCATAATGACAAACTCTATCTCATTCCGATACCTCCAGGATCGTACCATAACAACCGGTGTGGCTTCTACTGATACAGAAGTAGTAGTGGAAATAGCATCACCGTAATGGTACTACCTACCTCTATGTATTTCCACAAACAAGGATATCATAGTTCTGTGAAGATGTCTTACTTAGAAAAGAGGTCATTCATCTTATATTAGTTATCTTGCAACGGTCTTGATAACAGTTTTTCATCGCTACACCGACTTTTGGCAACGTGTGCTATCTGTGGACGCGTTGTGTACAAAGAAGCCATCTCGTGTGCGTGTGAGTTTGTGCGTGGAGTATGTGTAAATGGATGTGTCAGCAAGAATTAATGAGTATGTACATTTTGTTGCAATATGAATAATGTTTTTGAATATAAAACCCAAATTATACACATATTCAGCGCAGTAGACAGAAGATTTTTTTCCACAGATGTGTACCCAGATTTTCTCGTAACAGGAAGATTAGAGTTAAACGCTGCAGATCACTTTCTCACTCGGTTTAACACTGAGCTTCGTACTTACATGTATTTCACTTGCGAGTCATTTTGCTTTTGTTTTTTTTTTTGCGACACAGTAAGTAGTTCTGTGGAGAGAGAAAATAAGATATGGTTGGTGAATTCAGGCATTGCTTTATCTTTGGAGGAAGATTGATTACCTCAAGTGGTGTCTTTTATGTTGCAATTTTGACCATTGGTGTATTGTTGAATGCAGGGTGTTCCGCCGAGCCATATCTTCGATGATGACTTTATAAGTTTACTATTTCCATTTTCAATCATTCTCTCTCTCTTACTCTTTTTCTTTCTCCGTTTCTCTCTCTGTACCACTTCCCCCCTATCTCTCTCTCACATATACACAACCATACAACCGCACAAACACAAACATACACAGAGAGAGAAAAAAAGAAAATGAAAGAGAGAAAGAAAGAAGAAGAAGAAGAAGAAGAAGAAGAAAAAACAGAACGAAAAGACAGACAGAAACCCCACCTTGTTCCTGTGGATTAAAACCCCGCCAAACACGAGCAGCGCAGACGCAAAGAGGCCGCCAATTGTGCTCATGACGACGATCAGCGTGGGAAAGGTGGACAGCTTCTCCTCCACTGCTGTCTTGGCTTCGGCTACGGACTTAAAATGGAAATTAGATGCAATTTATATAGATATGCCTTTGGTGACGTCATCAAGATTTCCCGCGCTTTTCTCAAATTTTAGTTGTGAAGACTAAATTCATATATTGATAAAATCCATCATCTCATACGAAAGAGTAAGTTTTGTAAGAATTAAAAAAAAAAAACGATCTTGGAGCTGGCCATCACCTTTACCCTTTCAGAATTGTATCTAGAAGTATGTGTAGAATTGTGATAACACACTTATCTTTAAATCAAAATGTGTTACTCCATTTACCTCTCACCTACCCATATTTTAACAGGTTCTATGTGCCTTAATTTCTAAGCACCGCAGCTAATGGATAGATAACCTCATCGTTTAGGCTAGGTTAACTTGAATTAAGTAGAGTTAAGTTAAATCAAGCTGAAGTTAGACTAGGTTAGGTTACATCAGGAGTAAAAAGCTCTCACCTTGTCTATGTCTCTTAGGTAAGCGGAGAGAACCTTGACATCTATCGCATAAATGAACAACGGGTTTTGTTCCACTTCCACCACGCTCCCTTCTAAATCATCGGAATATTCTTGCAGTTCCTTCTGCTGTTCCTCTTTTATTATGTCTACTTTTATTTCCCTCGTAACTTTCAAGACGTTGTCTAAAGTAGAGGAGAGACGGTTGCACAAGTCTCTTCCGGAAATCTTGGTGTCAGTGACGTAAGTTGTATTCTGTGCTTGATATCGAGCGGTGCAAAATCTTGAGTTTGCTTGAGCTGACTTGACATGTGTTACCTGCAGTTTCGTCGCTAATTCAGCACTCGATTTAGCAAATATGGGGGTAGATGACTCGCCTGATTGCTGACTGAAAGGCCCAGTCAGTAGAACCCCCTGAGTTTCGTTAGAAAATTCAGTAGATTGCCCCCAAAATGTTTTATTTTGCTTTGGGATCGACCATTTAATAGAGCGCTGAGGAGATGCAATTCCCGGTAATGAAGTGGTCGAATCAATAGATATTTCTGTAGATGATTCAGTTCGTTGTTTTTCAGTAGAAAGATGATTCGATTCTGTAACTGATTGAGCAGGAGGGAAAGTGGATGATCCAGTAGGAGGAAAAGTGGATGACTGAGCAGTAGGGAAAGTGGATGATTCAGCAGAAAGAAAAGTGGATGATTCAGCAGGAGGGAAAGTGGATGATCCAGTAGGAGGAAAAGTGGATGACTGAGCAGTAGGGAAAGTGGATGAGCCAGTAGGAGGAAAAGTGGATGACTGAGCAGTAGGGAAAGTGGATGATTCAGCAGAAAGAAAAGTGGATGATTCAGCAGGAGGGAAAGTGGATGATTCAACAGGAGGAAAAGTGGATGATTCAGCAGGAGGAAAAGTGGATGATTGAGCAGTAGGAAAAGTGGATGATCCAGCAGGAGGAAAAGTGGATGATTCAGCAGGAGGAAAAGTGGATGATTCAGCAGAAGGGAAAGTGGATGATCCAGCAGGAGGGAAAGTGGATGATTGAGCAGGAGAAAAAGTGGATGATTCAGCAGGAGGAAAAGTGGATGATTCAGCAGGAGGGAAAGTGGATGACTGAGCAGGAGAAAAAGTGGATGATCCAGCTGGAGGAAAAGTGGATGATCCAGCAGGAGGAAAAGTGGATGATCCAGCAGGAGGGAAAGTGGATGATTCAGCAGGAGGAAAAGTGGATGATCCAGCAGGAGGAAAAGTGGATGATCCAGCAGGAGGAAAAGTGGATGATTCAACAGGAGGGAAAGTGGATGATTCAGCAGGAGGGAAAGTGGATGATTCAGCAGGAGGAAAAGCGGATGATTCAGCAGGAGGGAAAGTGGATGATTCAGCAGAAAGAAAAGTGGATGATCCAGCAGGAGGAAAAGTGGATGATTCAACAGGAGGGAAAGTGGATGATTCAGCAGGAGGGAAAGTGGATGATTCAGCAGGAGGAAAAGTGGATGATTCAACAGGAGGGAAAGTGGATGATTCAGTAGTAGGAAAAGTGGATGATCCAGCAGGAGGAAAAGTGGATGATCCAGCTGGAGGAAAAGTGGATGATCCAGCAGGAGGAAAAGTGGATGATCCAGCAGGAGGAAAAGTGGATGATCCAGCAGGAGGAAAAGTGGATGATTCAGCAGGAGGGAAAGTGGATGATTCAGCAGGAGGAAAAGTGGATGATTCAGCAGGAGGAAAAGTGGATGATTGAGCAGGAGGAAAAGTGGAAGATTCAGCAGGAGGAAAAGTGGATGATCCAACAGGAGGAAAAGTGGATGATTGAGCAGGAGGAAAAGTGGAAGATTCAGCAGGAGGAAAAGTGGATGATTCAGCAGGAGGGAAAGTGGATGATCCAGCAGGAGGAAAAGTGGATGATTCAGCAGGAGGAAAAGTGGAAGATTCAGCAGGAGGAAAAGTGGATGATTCAGCAGAAAGAAAAGTGGATGATTCAGTAGTACGAAAAGTGGATGATTGAGCAGGAGGAAAAGTGGATGATTCAGCAGGAGCCTCGGAAGTGGATGGTTCACTTGATAAGTGACTGGATACCTCAGAAGTAGTAAGACGCGTGGATAATTTCGTAGGAAAATCAGTAGAGAATTGAGTGGAGGAGAGAGTGGACGCATCAGTCTTGACATATGAAGTTGACTCAGCCGATGAATCACCAGATAACCCGACTGAAGTTTCAGATGGCGCAGAAGTAGATGTTATTTGTGGAATTTTAGTAGATAAGACTGTTGACGTGACAGGCGCTGGGCTGAGTGTGAGCGAGTTGACTACGATCAGCAGGCGATTGACTGAAAAGCTGATCTTCCCGAGTTTGGCATCGAGGTCGACGAGGAGGTCATCGTCTCCAGCAGGACCTTGAAGGAAGTAATAGTAGTTGTGAGTTCCTTGATTTTCGTGTCTATTTGTTTTTGTTTTTTTGTTTCTTCTTCTTTTTTTTCTTTTTTTTTCTCTCATTGCCTATCTCTCTTTTCTTCGTTCGTTCGTCCGTTTTTCCTTGCTCTCTCTCTTCTATTCTCTATCTCTCTGTTCTATCTATCTATTTCTCTCTCTCTTCTCTCTTCTCTCTCTCTCTCTCTCTCTCTCTCTCTCTCTCTCTCTCTCTCTCTCTCTCTCTCTCTCTCTCTCTCTCTCTCTCTCTCTCT